GGGGGGAAAGAGGAAGAGGAGGAGGCGGAAGGGGGGAAAGAGGAAGAGGAGGAGGAGGCGGAAGAGGAAGAAGGGGGGAACGAGGAAGAGGAGGAGGAGGAGGTGGAGGAAGAGGAAAGAAAAGACAACAGTGAAGAACTAGAACAGGATAGAAGGCGAGAGGAAGAGAAAAGGGAACAAAGGAGAGAGGGAGAAAGGGAAGAAGAGAGAGAGTCAGAAATAGAGACAGCCAGTCCTTATTTCGTAGCTAACCAGGAACTACACTCATAAAATAAGGGGCATCACTCTACTAGAAAGATGGCATCATGCATAAGCCAGTGCTGTAGTGAAGACATCAATGTTCGATGAAGGACATCAATGACTTGGGCCGGTGTAGTGATGACCAAGAGCTTGCAGTCTTTTGCCAATTTTGTTTCAGAAATGGAAAAGGAATGAAGTGCGATGGCAAGATTTATACTTCTCCTTGGTGCACAGCCAAAGCCAGCTCCAGTGTGAAAGATGAATCGGGTGTTTTGTTTTCCAGTCTGTGTTTGCCTGCTCCAGGACAACTGATGTTTAGTAGAAGATCTAGCTGAATAGAATCCAACAAATGGGGCTGGTTATGATGTTCATGTTTTACTTTAAAATATTTTGACTTTCAAGGCTGGGGAGACGGCGTGGTGGCTAAGGTGCCTGTCTGCATGAGAGCATGAGTCCTGATCCCCAGCATCCGCATGTAAAAGCCTGGAAGAGTTGCACCTGGCTCGACTCCAGCACTAAGGAGGCAGAAATGATGAGCTCCAGGTTCAAAATCAAGATGTAGAGTGATCAAGAAAGATGCCATATATTTGCCTTTGACCTCCGCAGGCACACTGGGCATGCATACATACCTGCATACAGTATGCACACCAAAGGAAATAGTTTTGCATAAATAGCATGTGTTAGTTTAAGTTGATAGAACCTTGCGGTTGTTTATCATCCTACGGGGAATTTCATATATATTATAATTGGTCGGTCAGCTGGCTAGTTGATTCAGGATGCCTACACCACAGAGGCTTGTCTTAGTTTGGGTTTCTGTTGCTGTGAATAGACACAGCAAGGAGAGTAACAAAGGAAAACATTTCACTGGGGCTAGCTTACAGTTCAGAGGTTTAGTCCATTATCATGACAGAAGGAAGCACGGCAGCATGCAGGCAGACATGGTGCTGGAGAAGGAGCTGAGAGTTCTCCATCTTTATCTGAAGGCAGCAGAAGTGAACTGGCTTGAGCTTCTGAAACCTCAAAGCTCACCCCCATTGACATACTTTCTCCAACAAAGCCATGACTACTTCAAGGCCATACCTCCTAATAGTGCCATTCCCAATAGGCCTATGGGAGCTATTTTTATTGAAACCACCCAAAGGCTTGTCTTACACACTTTCCACTATAATTTGCACCACAGGCAGGAAATTAGGATAAAGAATAGTGAATTCAGTCACTCACTGATTAAATTACTGTGATAGTAGGTATACAGGTGTGTCAATAAAATAGTTTGGGGTAACTTTTAGTCCTACAAAACAAATCTAGGAAGGCCTGTGTCCTATGCCTTCAAAGATTGGAAGTCTCTGAATTTTCAATATCAATTCTCAAGAAATCAATGTGTCTTCCCCTGGCAAACTTAGAACTTCTGTGCAAGCATAGTTGTATAATACTATTCCTGGGGAGATATGAATAAATGTCTACTCACCTCACACAGGGAAACCAAAGTACAGATACCACCACAGTCCAGTTTGGTGAACCAATGAGTTGTATTGGAGTTACCTATAAGAATATGGGTGAGGGGTTATTTACAGAAGCAAAAATGACTCAAAGACAGATGCATCACCAAACCCCAGCCCAGCCCAGGTGACTACTCACAAAAGCTTGGAACCTGGAACACACTGCACAGCCTGCAGGCAGCTCAACAGGTTGGAGAGTGTCCTTTCCAAGTGACTCAGGTGGTCTAAACCTCTTCCAGACAGCTGGGCTTGTCTCAAGAGTCTACTTTGCAGCTTGCCTCCATTGAGAGTGACTTGTAGTAATCTTTTCTGTTTGTACACTCTCCGGAAAAGCTGGCCCAAGAGATCATGGTCATTTTCAGGGACTTCCTAAAGCTATTTTGAGTGATGTATTTCCTGTCTTAATAAGCATCCCTGCAGGAGGAAAGGTTTCAATCTGGATGGAACCTGATACACAAGGGTTGAAGCACAGAAAGACGAAAATCTAGAGACTGCAGTTGCAGCTGGTGGCAGAGATGTTTGCCTACCATGTGCACTGTTCCATGGCCATTGCTGTTAAGGAAACTAGCCAACAAGCAAAACTGCATGCTCCAGCTTCTACGGTTGTAACATCAATACGACTGTTTCATACAGTGACACGGTGAAGGGATAACCCCAACTACCACTGTTTCATATGGTTACACTGGAGTTTTTACTATCACATACCCTGGTGAACTCTAGATGACCATAGAACCATGTACTTTCAGGCCAGATGGGGAGACTCTCCTTGGTATCTCACAGAGGGACTGGTACACAGGGGACAATGCTGTGATTGGTGGAAATACAAACAAAAGGTTTGCTATGCCTTGTGCAAAAACCCTCCTTGGGCTATGGCTGTTCAGCTCACTTTCTGAGACGGCTGAGAGGCATCCCTCTGTGCTGTCTCCCCTGGTGTTGCGATAGTAGTACCAGAAAAACTGTCTCTTCCCAGTGCTCCTTTCTTGCTAGATTTTAACAGAGAAGGCTGAGATGGTGACAAGAGAGGGAAGCAGCTACAACAGACAGCAGAGCCATGGTGGCAGTCCTGGTGGTGACAATGGATCTGCCATTGTCACCTAGTCCTGAGTGGGAGGTGAGGGTGGCAGGCCACTATGACAGACACAGAGGAGATAGAGCTAAGAGCAGCAGCCAGCTAACCGCTCTGGAAATTAGGGAACCATGAGGGACCTGGCCTTAATAAGTAGCAGAGGCTGAACTGTGCAGCTCTGATGAGGAGCAGGGGTGTGGCAAGGGATTCCTCAGCATCCATGACCAGGATCTGAAGTAGAGCTCAACAATCTGTGGGTCAGGCTGCAAAACAACAAATGATCAACTGCATGGCTGACATCTCCGGAGGAGGCGGAGCCACACCTCAGAGGAAAGAATGGGGCTTGGTGGTTGCAGTAGCTGCTTTCTGAGTAGCAGCAGCTATGAAAGTGGTCACAGGAAACTGTCACACTGG